CTTTAAATATTTAAAAAATACGAAAATCTTACATTTGACTTTAAAATTAAGAGTCTAAAGGGACTGGGAATTACAAGAATCGGCAGTTACATACCAATGAAAAACGCTTAGGTTTGCTTGACTACAAGAACTGGGCGTTAGACGCCATTGTTGGAAAGAAAGATTTTTTAAATCTTTCGGTCCGGCATTTAAAGAGTGATACATGGTTTTTGTTGCGCAACTCATAAACGTGGCAATCGGCGCGCTTTGGTGGAATAAGGTGGTACAGCCGTGACCCAGGCACACAGATACCGCCCCAAACTTTCTTGCAGAGTTCGTCTCTTCTCACATTTAGGCAAGTGGAGTTTGCAGCCGCAATGGCGTCTTTGCAGCTCAGCGCCGGAAATAATATACGCAGAGCTCTTTTCTGAACTCTTTTCTTTGGGTTGAGGTTCATATTGTTGCGCGACGACCACTGTGCAATGGCGTCAAGATCTTTCTGAAGGGACGATGTGCCGCCTGATGGGATGGCCATCGCCTGATGGGATGGGATGGTTCCAAGAGTGAAATGAAACACAATTATTCAAAGCAGCTAAAAACTTCAAGCAGTACTAAAGAGGTAAACTTGTTTAAACCAAGAAAGAATCCCAGGAGTAGAAGAGTTAAGAATTGGAAAGGGGACAAGTGGATTATAAGCTCATTTTCCAACCATTAGGCTTCGCTTCTTTCACGTATCCGAATCCTTACAAAATATGAGTATGTTCGAGCATCTATTCACAGAATTGTTTGGCAGGATTGACTCGACCTCCTTTTTACATTAGAGGGAGTAGCTACCTTTTTCTTGTGTTCACAAGACGACAGTGTAACCCTCCGTTCCCCTTTTACAGAAAGCTTCTGTCTTATATGTGTTCGATAGTCGCTTACTTTTTTTGTAATTACATATCGATGAAAAATGTTGGATTGAAAAAATTGGGCACTTGGGGGACTTCGAGCCAAAAGCGAGTCACTTGACTCGACTTAAACTCTAGATCTTAAATCCAATTTGTACTTCCTCTGACACAATCTGATGAAATTACAGTCAGGTTACCTTGTCAACGTCCCCCACAGCTGAAACGTTCACGAAGTTATTAAGAAAAATTTCGACAAATGAGATACCGTGACTTCGACTTTGACACTCTTCTTACATAACAGTTCACAAGGATACCAAAATTGGAGCATAATCGTTTTTAGATCGTCGCAGTTCTGTCACGGAAGTTATGTTTAGCTAACCCTTTTTGGGAATGACTGTTAAACAGAGTTGTATAATTTAGTCATTTTCGTAGTGTAAATGAATTAGCTGGTGGATCCCTCCAACAGACTTAATGTGCTTTTTATAGCTTTGAATAATTTTGTTCATGTTTCCAATCCTATGGTTGCAAGTTGCAAGTATATCACGAACGACGGGTGTTCCCATGATAGAAGTAAAAGCTTCAAAAACGATTTTCGCGCATGCGGAGGTCAATATTCAAATGATCCCCAATGTTGGTTATCGATATCGAGTTACGTTTTCGGCTGTACATACGCATCATTTAGCGCGTTTTAAATGATTTTTTTTATTAGCTCAGGAGATCATTTGTAACAAAACTTTATTTGCATTTTTTTCGTTTAATCGGAGCAGCCTTAAGATGCACGGTTTTTGTAACAAAATCAATTAAGACGTTTTTGAATGCTAAAACTTGGACTGATGATCACTAAAGTCGTTATTTCTTTAAAATTTTATCCTCGATAGCCTATTTTAAATTCAGTGTGTCTTTCCCACATTCTTCAATTCTCGCACAGTCTTATTACAACTCCCAGCGTCTATCATCTCTCATTGGTATGTCTGGTTTAAGAGCTGGCTTTGTAGATTTGTCATCCTGCGCGAATGAGTAGTAATCGTCTGGCATTTTCGTTGAAGCATTTAGACAATCTAAGAAAAAGAAATATATGCGTTAACAGGCTTATCTCATTTTTATCCCGTTCTCATGAAATCATCGATCAAGGACAAGTCATTATTTAACAGGGGTCGAAGGATTTAGGGGTTAACATCGTTTTCAGTCGGAGGGGAGAAAGATCGGTCCTCTTTGACAGAGTTTAAGTGGGGAGTACTGTAGAAAAAAATTTTGTGCAAATGGGGAGGGGATGGTTAGAATACTTCAGAGCCTTATTGGGGGGATCAGATGATTTTTTTTTATGTGACACAACTTAATTCCTCTGAACCCTCTCCCCTCCTCCAAGCCCTCCAAATGATACTATAAGTAATATCTAGTTTCACATGTGGTCGCCTCGTTAGGTCAGTGGTTAGAGCACTGGTCTTGTAAACCAGGGGTCGAGAGTTCAAATCTCTCACGGGGCTGGGTACGACTCCTTTTTGTTTCTTCACCTCAAAGTAGAACCAGTTTCCACTTAATAATAAACTTTTTATTACTAGAGTATGATCAAAAGCAATTATCTGTTGTTGCTTTAACTTTGTGTCTATTTTTGTAAAGGAGACTGCCTTGATAGCGCGCTCTGATTGTTCCATAAATAAGTCGTATCTTGCCATAAAGGCAAGCTGGTTGCATCAATCCCCTGAGGCCCTGATTCTAGAAATTGTCTCCTGATAGTTATCCGATGCAAGATGAAATCTGTCCCTCTTTTTTTAAACAGATTGATCCATATGTAGATTCACTTTAGCACAAACCAATCTTGAGCTGTGATTTCTTGGGTACTGTCTTGATTTCTTTATTCAACAAAATGCTGATTGATCAATCTTTTCATTTATTACGTCTATTTTCAAATCACTGGATCCTTGCAGTCCGATTGGCTCTAATCAGAGCCATTTATTCACGAATCGAAACATTATTTCTTGGTAATCGCATCTTTTTCCCAGTCAATGAGAAAGCTTTATAAAACACAAAAAGCCAATCAGTTTAAAATCACGTCTCAATTACCATGATTCATTAACTGTAATCTTCATATTTGGAAGTTAAATACAATACCTTGTTCATTTTCGTCAAGAATTCGTTCTACACACAGCCAATCGATTAGATTTTCCTTCTGATCACCAAAGTACCACTGTGTTATATCATCCTCGTGGCTTTCCAACATATGAATACACTGAGAAATAAAGAGCATCAGCGAATACTTAGTCAAAAATAATTGTAATAATGATAAAGATGTTAATAAAATAGATCCCCGTTTACTTGAACCCAATTAACTGGAATGCCCCGCTAACTCGAGCAAGATCTGATTACCCTTGGATTTGACCCAATTTTTTCAGTCATCTAGTATCAACTAACTCGAACTTTAGCTTTCCCTGATAACTGAACCTTGAAATAAAAACGTCGAAGTGCTAAAACATGGCCGATAGCAGATTGACACGTCTCGTTCTTTAATCGCGATTTATACGAAAGTGAGAACATTTATGAAAACGTAATACACCTAGAAAAACTTCCCAGTCTATAGGTCCTTGTAAAAATTCTCTCATGAAACAAACTGAACGTATGAAAATGACTTTTGGTTATGTAAGATTGTTAAAAACCTGATTCCTTATTGATAGTAAAAAGGATAGTTGAAATTCAACAACAACCCCAATAACTCAAAGCCCCGCAGATCGAAACTTTACCCAAGGGGGTTCGAGCTAGCTGGGTTCTAATGTAATTGCGATGACAATAGGGAAAGGTGGTGATAATGATTATAACGATGATTCTAGTATTCTGCTTAAACAATAGAGTGTTTCTGTAGAGGAACTATCCGCTGATAGTTGCCCGCGGAAATTTGATATTCTTGAAACAAATATGCTAGTTTTAAGAACATCAAATTTCCAAGGGGTAACTATCAGACCGATAGTTCCAAGACATAAACACTCTATTGTCTTTATTATTCACCATGCCACTGAATTTTCTTCCGCGCCCCAGTTGTAAAACAGTCAAAATCCACTAAATGTAGATCAATCAAATATTTGTTCATGCGTACAGCCTGTCACAAATGTTAATAATTTGCAACCGTGCATTGACTAAATAATATTTATACCAGAATTGAAAAGTCACTGTTTTTCCGATCCGCCTAATTTCGCGGCCGTCAAACCATTCAAAATTTTTTACGGATGAGTACTATCCATCCGGGTATTTTCCGTGAACGGGCACTATGGGCTGATAGTGTCTCTCTACGGATAAACACTATCTCGTCACGTGATCAGTTTAAACCAATAAGAATCGGAGACAATTTAGTGGTGAACTATAATTTTCTTTAGAGCTTGCGCTTTTATAAGTTTCTTCAAATGTTTCGTTCAGAGAAACGAAATAATAGCGTAACGGTGCAATTAACCATATTCATCGACTCGACTGGTTTAACTCAAAAAAATTCTTCCTGCCGTTATCAAAAGATATCGAAAGATTTCTCTTCGTGACCGAAGGCCGGTGAGATGTGCGCTCCTCGTGTTCCAAATGCCAGAACTGACGACTGAAGATTATTACGGACGATATGGTCTTTCTTAATGGGCGCTTAAAATACTGTACATTTTTCTAATGCTATTTCGGCCGAACCAAAACTGTTTTTTCGAAACTCTTTTACCGCTCCAAATGTGGATAGGGCGGCTCTACTAACTAGTCATGCCAATTGAAAAACGGCCATATATAAGCAAAGTAAAAAAGGGATGACTGGACGGAGGGAGGCCAACTTGTTTACCTTGAATTTGAGTCTCCCCATTTCGTAAGTGTAGTCTTCTACGACTTCATCTGGTAGCTCGTAATTAAGTTTAACTTTTGATTTCTCTTGCATATCTTCCAAAACTTCTCGAAGTTGACTTTTAGCTGAAAGATAAAAAAAAGCATCACGATTCCTCATTCCAATTGGAAGTCTAGCCTTGATAGCCTTATCGCTGGTAATGATAGAATTTATAGGTCCAAATGCCTTATACTAAACCAGTTTATATTCTCTGGACTAAACATATTCAATACTGCTCTGATCTGTTCAGTATTAATCACAAATGAGGTAAAATGTTGTAGTTGGTGACGTCATCTTTGCGTCTGTCCTCCAATAAATCCTAGGTAAAAACCAATCAAAATGCTTATCATGTCATGTAAACACCTACACTCCATTTCGCTTTATGTCTGTTCTGTTAAAGTCCACATACGACACCAAAATGATGTGGCAAGAGCAAAGAGAAAGGTCGTCTGTCTTCAATATCATCTTACCCGATACTTTTATCCTCTGTGGCGTATATTTCTCTTATAGTAAAAAAGACGAGCAAAAACCTCTTTCTTAATTTCACTACCAAGCTTAAACGCAACATTTTGTTATATGATTCTACTTACGAAGATGCCTTGGTTTAGGTTTTCGTCAAATGTTCTTTTCTAAATATTGTACGAAGTATCTTTGCAATGTTTATCTGAAGTATTTAAGTTACAAACCTCCTTTAATGTAAGGAAATTCAGGACCTGGCCTGGCGCGGTAAAGTTTCATTCTCTCGCACAAATTGTCCAGGACATCTAAGAGACGAAGCTCCCTTGAAGGTTGAAACACAAGTAATAATATCTGAGGTTAGGTGACACGGATTGAAAAAAAGCAACTTGGACGTGTTATGTTATGCTTATTTTTGCCGAGGTGCATGAAACGAGTGGTAATCGGTGGAGCCTTTTTCTCCCATTGATATGATTCTTGAGTCTCCCTCTCAGCGAGTGAACATTCTTTTGTCAAATAAGTTGTGTCAAGATAAACCTTTCAGCTGATAAACTTTTATATTTTCATCAACTATTTGCAGGATAATGTATCGTCATTGCAAGGAGGGTTTACATATGAATCAAAGCAATGATTTCAAGGGTTAGGGTTTTGTAGGTCATAGAAAGAACTCACGATTTTTCATATTGGATGCTTTTCTCCTGATTGTCTAAATCCTCAAGTAAATATCCACGAGGTACATCTTCCCGACGATTCGTCTTCTTCATTTGCTCAAGAAACTCGGTGACAAGAAGTCGACATACTGAAAGAAAACAAATCAAAACTGACTGGAACATAACAAAATGATTGTTCAGACTTTTCCATCGAAGTCTATCTATAATAATTACAAAGACGCAAAAAACTTTTGTTGGCAGGTAGATGGGCCTTATCAATGGAAGAAAGGGGGGGCTGCTAAGCGGCAAGTTACCGTTATCTTAATATTCTTTTATTTTCCAAGTGTCACTTTAAAACCTGTTTATGGCAAGTAGGTGTAACGGGATATTAACTGTGGTTAATTTTCTGGAATATTTCTTTAAAAAGTTGACCATATTACTAGAAACTATAATCCACAACGAGAGTGAAGCTTCAAAAGAGTTTAACAATGTTAAAGATGCGATTCGAGAGTCTTTCAAGTCTGATAGTTATAAAAAAAGCTCTCACAAGATTTTCATGATTCTAATTGAATGCCATCAATACCGTGTAATATCTTCTACAGAAATTTAAGGGAACTACGAGTAGATTGGACATATTTTTCTTAATCGAGAAAACAAATCAGTTAACGATTTTGCTCGAAAATGAACTTATTTTGAAATTGTCGCACCACTTAAGCCGATATGACGCACCAAGATCTGCTGCAGGTATTTCCACAGTAATAACGGCTAAAATCAGTCACTTGTAGGAATCCAATTATGTTTGTCATATTTCCTATCTGAATTTAACTTCAGCCTTATATTTTTACAATCTTGTTCCGGACATGTAGTATTGCTTACCTTGGCATTTCGTGGGTCTCACATTAGCTCCGTGATGAAACTTCGTAATATATGGATTAATTTTCTTTTCTTTATCTGCTCCAGGTCCTACTTTTATCCTTTCCTCGCAAAATGTGTTCCGTATAACAAATACAAAGTAAAGACTTGAAAAAAGTAATGGTGATGTCGTTAAATACATTCTGAAACAAAAATGATCACTTCTAAAATGATTCCACTTTCCTTCACCAACGGCCGTCCGTAAATCTTTCTGGCAATTTATATTTCTAATGTAATTTGATCGTTTCTTCCGTAAGCGACTGTGCTATCTGTGTATTTCCAATTGGTTTAATTGGTTCTTTTCTTCCGTAAGCAATTGTGTTATCTGTGTGCTACCGATTGGTTCTTTTAAGCAACGTTCAAAGTAAGAAAGTCAGCTGGACAAACACTTCAATGCGTTTTTATCACTTCTACTATTAACGAGCTTTAAAGTTTTCTTTCATGAGCTTCAGAGATTAACATTTCTAAACAGTTCGTATAATAGTTAAAAAAACGTTTCTTTTAAAACACCTGTGTTCATAAACGTCTTTGAAAAAGTATTTGCTTTAAGACATTGTTGGTGAAATATTAGAGAACGGTTTTTAAAAATTTTTGATGAAGCAAAACTCAAAGCTTAAGGTAAAAGATATTTAAAAAAAAAAAGAATATTTAAATCTAAAAGCTACGAAATGACTGAGCCCAAAACAACCAAATCCGTAGGACCACTATAAATAATTTATTTTACTTTTCCAGTAAATCAAATTTTTATTACTATATGTTATATGACAAAAAAAAACATGAATCTTCCGCGTTTAAATAGAAGTTTAGTTCCGTTTCAAATTTCAGGTTCATAAATAAAGAAGTGTCATAATTTTTCCACGCGGAATAGTTCAATCTTTAAGTTTACCCAGCCGACTGGATGCAGCTGGGTTCTCTACACGTCATTTGTTACTCGCACAGACAACGGGTTAGCTTTAAATCCATAAAAATAATTCGTCAAAGCAGAATATTGTAGTATGATTACCTTTTGCAAACGGCGAAACTGGCGGTAAGAAATCCTTACAAAGCATTCGAATTTCAGTGGAAGGGTGACGGTGGAATATGTCCTTTCATGAACACTGAATGAATTGTCTCATTGCATATATTACTGATTAACAATTGAACAAATATTCAATGGCGCTGCGCCACGAAAATTAGCAGTCAATGAAACAAGCGTCCTCGACGATTGTCAATGATCTAAAATCTTCTCGTTTGCTACCAATACAGAACAACCATAACTTGGACAGCCGATTGAGTATTTCAATACATCTTTCGATTTTATTTCCGTTGGGTTCACCCGTCTTTGACAAAACATCGTTTAAGTAATCCTCGACAAGTTTTTTTTTAGCTATTTTTACTAAAATTTGTTTGAAAAATGCGTTTATCTCCGAGGTATAGCATGGTTTTTGTTATAGTTTTCTTATGGACTGTAATCTACGCTGAAGACTTTGAGAACGAGTATGAAATCATCGATGGGATTAAAATTAAAAAAGACTCGATTGTTATGATAAACGAGCAAGATGGAAAGAAAGGTGAAAAGAATGAACGATCACACTCGGAAGAACACGATGAAGTTTCGGAGGAAGATCGAGACGATGATAATGACGATGACGATGTGGATGATGACGAGGATGATGGCGATGATGGTGGGGAAGGAGACTTAGAAACTGCCAAGAACCTTCCAACAAAATGTCATGGTAAGGCTGATTATACGTAGCCGCCAAGAAAGTAATGAATACTTGTTATTGCGATACAGTGTAATACTTTGTAATATTTTCAAGTTTGTAGACTATTGGCGGTTGAGGTAGAGAATAAGCTTTCAAAGAATGCAAGGATTAGGAAACCACGGGAAGGCAAACCTCCGATTTACTACAAAGAGTAAGAATTTTTTTCCTTATTCGGCAATTTAAATTCCTTTTTTGTTAGAGGAGTTTTTGTCATTTGAGTGTGTATCTTACTCTAAGTTAGAAGGATACTCACAGACAACGGTTGGTCTTATAGTTTTGTCTCTTTTCCATAACAGGGAACTAGTTATTTTGAGAGTTACGGAGAACATATGTGACGCAATGACAAAGTACAATGTCAGAGCAAAGGTTCCCTTTAGATATAAACGGGGAGGTAAGTACCGTTTCAAGTGTAAAACAACGATTGATAAAAGGGGTTAAGGCATATGCATGCAGTGGATGAGCTATTATCGTCAGCGCAAGTAAAAGTTTAAGTGTGAGTGCGAGCTTGATTTGGCATGCTAACGGAGCTTGCACCACTTTCTGTAGCAAGAAGCCAGTAGAAGTACCTAAATACATTTCTTAGTGAATGTCAGACACCAGTTTATCGCAGATTACATCCTTACACTATTTTTGTTAAGATACTTTCTCTCTCAATTAAAAGTTTAAAGATCGCAGCATACGCAGAGAAATTCATTACAATAGCCCTGTAAAGATAGAAGAGACCAATTTTTCGTGAATAACAAACATTGTTATTTACTGCAGGCCAAATATGACTTGCGCTTGCAGACCAAGGATTAACCGATTAGAGTCAAATATAAGTCAATGGAAATAACAGTGTATAGGCTAACGAGTTACGTTGCGAAATTCTGGTTCACTTATAGAAGAATAATTGAAATAGAACCTTTCTAGGTCAGACAAACACCAAATATGTAAGCTTAAAGGAAAAAAAAGGACGACAAGTAATAAAATTGACACGAAAAGCTAAAGACAAAATTGAAAATTAGGCTTTTTTTAAAGATTGGCTGAATGGAACGTAGCTCTCGTAGTCAAAGGGCAAAGGGCACACACAATACTTACCTCCAACATTCAAACCCTTTTACAATTTGACATTCTTGTTGGGGATGTTTGTTTCGCTTTTAGTGAAAAGTATGTACCGTAAGCAAATTGAAGAGGTCACAAAAGATTCTCGAATTCAAAAGTGGGTGTTTGCCACACCAGAAGAGGAGATCGATGATCCAACAGGCGAAATAAGAAGGCTCAAGGAACAGGTTCGCGAAACAGAAATTGTAAAAAAACAAATTAAATAAGTAAATGTTTTCTTGTGTTAATTCACTATCAAGAATGGCACCTACATTAATTGTGGGTGTGAAGTTGTTTTTTTCTGTTAAGTTTATAATCATAGTATTTAGAATAACGTTAGCTGTGTGAAAAATCGCAGGGTTTAGAAATATGCTCAAAAACACCAAGTTTTATTTTTACTCATCTGTAGTTGGTGCATGTGTCTTAGCGACTGATATCAGTTGCTTGAACACTGTACCGTGTAAATCGGCTTATGAAACGTATGTGGGGGTTTAGTCAATCACATACCATGTTCTAATGCCTTACGAATTCAAAGCAGGCAGGGTTTTAACTGTAGATTATTTGGCTGTTTGATCTCGTCTATGATTTCGTTTTTGTGTACGTATATGTATTTTTTCTTGCCCAAAGTGTAACCAGCTTCGACATGTAGCTATACTTTCGTCTATAGTATCTTTGCGAAAATCAGAGTACCTAAACCATCTGCGATTAATCTCCTGAAATCCAATTCAGGCTGACAAACTAGCTTTAGACAACACATATGAGATTACCAGTAACGGCTGGGAGGTCATCAGTGAAAACAAACAATTCTCGACCATTTTTTTTTATTTCTTTTTTCTTTTCACTTTTCCTATAGTGCTACGAAATGTTAAAGGGGTCACAAAAACTGCTCATCCATTGGTTTATGAAAGCACAATCTCGCGACTTGACCAAATGGCTTTGTGCCAAGAGGGTTTTAATTGACGACGACAAAGGTTTGAATATTCATTTGGCGACTTTTAAAGGGCGACTTACGGCGACTTACTGCGACTTAAGGCAATTTAAGGCGACTTAAGGTCCCAGAGTAGGGCTTGCCTTCAACTTTTCCGAAGTGTATTATCACTTACATGGTTAGCCACTGGTTCTTCTATCAATTACCATTTCACCCCAGAAATTGAAAAAGGCACAGCCTTGAATGTCACAATCAGAAAGGGAAATCGAATTTAAGGGGGCTTACTCCCCCGTTGTATCCATTTCATGCAATAAATCTCCATTTAATTTACTTATCCATCCAAATTCTGACAAAATATTTGTGTTTTATGTCCGCTATATGAGCTATTTTAGTAACTTTAATAATGATTCAATGTTATTGTTCTCGTGCCATTACCTTCCATTGGGAGCTATAGCCTATTGAGAAAAGAATTTCACGCGGAGAATATTTCTGAAAAACTTCAAGGCCAGTAGCATGCAATTAACATCTCAATTACAGTCCTGATAAATGCCTCATGTTTTCTTTCAAAGAATGCCTCCAAGTTGAGATGCCCAGGAGAAACCAAGTTGCAGCGTTGAGACAGAAGAAAGTAAAGATCGTAGAAAATAATACGACGAGTGCTGCGCACGAAGAACTTTGATAAATGATAACATTATTATGAACATAGCCTAACATTTCATTTAATTTTAAGATTATTTTAATTAGAAATCAAATGTTGTTAAGCGCATTTATAAAGATAAAAAAGTTAGAAAATTTTTGAAGGTGTTCTGTTCAAACATCTTCATAAAACATTAAAAGCAACCTAAAACTCGTCAGCGTCTGCTAAATTTGTTAATAAATAAAACAAGCGTCTCTGCGCCAAAAGTTCATTTAAGCTTCCTTGTTCAAGTATGCGCCCGTGGTACATAAGGATGATGTGGTCCGCAGTTTCAATTGTTTGTCTTTGTCTTGTGAGTATGAGACAGGTTCTATTCCGGAAAAGAATATCAGTGGCATCGGTCACAGCCTATGAACCAAAACAGGTCAATTAATCCAGTATATTAATTCTAGGGAAAAAATGAACCCTATCGGAAAACATCTTGAGATTGGGATGTAAAAATGACTGATTGACTGAGTTACTTCATTCTGATTGACCGACCGATCAACCGACCGTTTCACTGACTTACTGCCTGGCTCAAAAACCGACTGACTGACAGTCTGACTGACTGGCTTGCTGACCAAGTGTGGACAAACGCCGCACAAACGAACTGACCGACTGGCTGTAGGACTAACTGACTAGCTTGCGGGCTGAGTATGGACAAACGAACTGACCGACTGGCTGTAGGACTAACTGACTAGCTTGCTGGCCGAGTGTGGACAAACGCCAGACAAACGAACTGACTGGCTGGCTGTGGGACTGACTAGCTAACTGACCAATTAACTGACTGTCTAAATGAAACACATGAGTGAATGACTGAATTAAAGAATGAATGAAAAAAATGTGAACGAACAGATGAAAGTATAAACTAACAGTCATTTGTTGTAATCTTTATGTATCCTTAGATATAATCAATACCTGATCTTCTTCTTCCAGCTGATCTAGAATGATAAGTGGCGATCCGCGGATAATTGCCCGTGCTATAACTATCCTTAATTTCTGACTATCGCTCAATTTGATTTGATCTTCATCAGGAATCGTTTCATAACTCTAAAACAGACACAGAGAAGGAACCCATTGAAACAGCTAAATAAATGAGTAACACATCTCCAAATGGAGCTTTTTAAATTCTTACTAGCATGATTTACAATCAGTGAATCGGGTAAGTAATAACTCCTCATCATCGATACTGAGAAAGGCAGAAGCTGTTAAATGTATTAAAGTTTGACAGATATTAAAAGAATGTAGTTCTACCAAACGAAGTTTCTCTAGAGAACCGATGTTTCACAATGCTTATAAAGAAAGGGAAACTCTCCTTAGGCTCTGCTATATTATTTCAGCTTTAATTTCACTAGCGTTTGCTCAAGAGCGAATGATCGTTCAGTTTTTAAGATCGACTTTATGTAATGTTACTAAAACTGCAGCAATGTGCACAATGCAGTTTACCAGTTCTTTACCTTTGGTAAATCCCCGATAAATTCGTGTGCATACGCCGAATAGGCAGCGTCCTCAATTTCCGTTTGTGTCACGCGTCTCCTGTTGTCGCCATAAGCAATGTTGTCGGCAATACTGTAATGTGACAGGAAACATCGATGGGATACTACTGCATGATGGGATCGTAACCAAGAAAGGTCCAGATTGCGAATATCTGCTCCATCTAAAAGCTAAATAAATGCAGAGTTTAAAAGATCTACGAAGCTGCAAGCAAAGAGAGATGTGGTATACCACAGTAACTAAAGAACAACCTCAGTTAATTGAGGGACGTATTCAGTGAAAATCGAGGGGTCCATTCTATGAAGACAAGGAAGGACATACGAGTATTTTTTCAGTCGAGATTTAAGACCACGTCCATTGAATGAAGGCAGCTTATCCCTTTCAATTGTTTGTTTGCCTGGCGCGTGGAGGAAATTTATGTCGATCATGCGTTCACGGAAGCAATGATTTTGCATTTTGTAGAAAGAAGATCACCGAGTGGAATTTTCTGATACAGCACGAAAACAATAGATCAGGAAGAAAACTCCATCTCGCTAACAACTCCATACGAAAATAATTCAGTGCCCTTCATTTGAGCTTGGCCCATGAGGCGAAATTATATCTTTTAGAGTAGTGTTTACTGTAAACTGTAACACGAAGTAATGATATTTACCAAGGTTCCCGCGACAGGATCAAAGAAACGCTCCAATAAAAGTTCAAAGGGATTCACTTTCTCGCTGTCCAGTAGAACAATAGCCAGTTTTTGTCCTTTCCTGACCTTCACGTTCATCTGGCTCAGCAGCGGAGTGCCGTTATGGAGTGGGTCTGGAAGTTCAACGTGTTTGAACTCCAAGTTGCCTTCAACCTCGTCCTGCGGGAAATTACTTCAGTTGAACAACTTTGAGATTCTTCTTATGTAAATAACCAAACTTTTGAATGCCGTTTGTCCCTTATTCTTACAAATTGATTCCTTACAACATAGTTTTTTCTGTAGAACATATACATCTTTTTCCTTTTAATCGAGTATCTCCTAACTATCACATGTGATACCTCAGTTGGAAACTTTTTTGTTTACTTGCAAAACCAAGAAACGAGGCGGAGACAAATAAAACTTCACGAACTAATGGCAAACTAACAAATAAAGCAATATCTATAAAAGCTCACCAACTTGTGATCACCAATGTGATCCTGCACGTTTGGTTTTTCGTCGTCAAATAGTCTGTTCACTGAATCCTCGTTCTCTTCATGCGCGTGAGACGGCGCACGCGTGCTCGATGTGGCGTAAGAACCAAACAGCACCGTCATTAATACTCTAAAACAAAAGGAAAAACATATATAACGACAAGGATTACTTGACAATACGTATGTTAGAGTAAAGAGAACAAAATGGCAAATTACCCCAAAACTTCAATGGCAGCCATATCCCCAATGCTGATTAGGTAACAGCCAAATCTAAGTGCACCTGCGTAAATGAAGAATACCATAGCTTGTCCCAGAGCGAAAGCAAAACCACTGGCTATAATCTTCTTCAACGCCTGTCTGTGACGAAAAGAAAGTCAACGTTTAAGCAATGATAACTGAATATAACCAGAACTGCAGACCCAGTGAAGATGATGAGCAGTAATGGTATCCTCAGATTGAAGGAATAACGAGATTGAGGTGTAAAGTAGAGTAACTAAAAGTTACTTTCTGCTAACTTGTTTTACGAAAGAGAAAGGAGAGAGAGAGAGAGAGAGAGAGCCTGCAGAGAGATTAGTACAAAAAACGGGTATGGTCTAGTGGGTATCTTCTCTCAGAAAATGTCTTCAGCACCACTTCTTTCAGAAAATTTCTTTGGCCACCGCACAGCAGAAACTGTAAGCGGGTAAAAAACTTCAATTAATCATTTCATTAATTTAGAAAAGAAGGTAAATATAAGAGACACGATTATTATTTATTACTTATATTTTTCGAAGATTGCATCCTTGTATTTCTTTGCAAATTTATTTTCCATTCCGAGAGCGGAAATTGTTTCCATTTTCTTGAAGCTTGTTTTCATGAGCTACAATTTAAGAGAGAAAAATGGAAGGATGAGCGAAAGGTTTTTTTTTTTTTCAACATCAATTCAGATATATTCGAGAACTCATTTTGTCTGAGTCAATTAAAATGACTCGGGAGCGGAATGCCGTTATGGAGTAAGTCTGGATAGAGGAGAGAGGATCTTCATCAACGGGCTTGTTGGTACACTTACTGCTTCAACCCCCTCCGGTTCCACTGTGACAGCTTCATTCTGTTGAATCCGATTGGCCAGCCCAATTATTGGTAGTCCAGCAAGCACCACCAAGGTCATCTTCCATCCGTTGTAAAGAGCCATGCCGAGCGTTGATATGGACGAAATGGTCTCTTGTACTTTGGGGCCAAGGTATTTCCCGATAGACTGATAGAACAAAAACATCATTGTACCTCATGGTTCCCATTCTGCGCATCAATAAGGCTGCGCTACATGCAGCCGTCCGTTTCAATATACAATCTTCAAAACTAAGCAAAAAATCTAAAACTAAGCAAAATGCTGTCCTTCAATTTGTCCTCTCAGTCCATCTTTAATCACAACTTCTCTTTACCGGGATGAGAAACAGATTAGTTCTGTGGCTTAAGAGATTTTAACATGAAAACTTATTGATGTATAAGAGTCATTATACTTTTTTGTATTGGCTCTTACACACTTCTGCTACAGTACCTTAACAAAATCAAACCTACAGTAACAACGACGATCAATGATCTCAACCTTTATTCTATAAAATATTTTAAACAAGGTTGACTGAGAAATACGTAAGATTAAGAAATGTCAACCTCAGCTTTTATAATAGACGCACATTTTGTAAAGCTGCCTCGACATCCTTTTCAACTTGGCTCATGAGTTGGTCCGCTTGCTGCTGTGGATCTGGTAATACCTGAAGGGAAACAGGAATATCCGATTGCTCTTACTTTCAAGTTTCCTTATCTTTCGAGTGCTTACCCTAGTCCTACATATTCTGCAATTGAACAAAAAGTAAAATTGAACACAAAGCACATGTGTTTTCAAAGCCATTCAGTCGTGTTGAACGTGCCTGAATTAGGAAGAAAAGAATTCTTATTTTGTAAATGAAAAATAAAGGTTGGCTGCGATTAAAACCGGAGTGTCATCACACAAAATCAATCTTGCGGGTTACCACTCACCAATAGATCTGGTCGTGGGTTTGGCATGTTTGGGGGAAGACCCATTCCCCCAAACTCTTGAATTCCTCGTTGATCGGTGTATGAAGGCACGTTTTTGGCATTGTAATGCGTTGTAGTTGGCATAACACCACGTATAGAAGGTATACCTCCTTGATGTACCTCACCAGAATTCAACTGCGAGCCAAGTGCTAATGCATTATAACCATTTGTGGGTGTACCGGGTAAAGGTACCATTCCTCTGGCTGACACCATATCTTTTGGAATCCCTGTTAACGGTAATGAGCATGGTATTGAACCACCAACTGGCAACTGATCATTATCTAATCCAAGATCAGTTACTCCTGTTCGACTAAGTTGTGTCAAATTCCCTGGAAGACTTTGATCAAGTCTCAACCCTTGTGGATTTACTCCTGACAGAATGTTATCTTGTGTTTGTGGAAGAGAAATCCCCGCCGTACCTGGACTACGGTCTGAATCTTGGGGCAAGCCAAGGGACGAAAGATTCTTTGTGGGTGAAATGTTTTGGGCAACAAGGCCTGGTGATCCTGGCGCAAAAAAACTTCCTTCAAGAAAAGCTAAATGCTCTGTGGGCACACCTTGAAGGGAAGGTAGATTTAGACACATTGGCTGTGGTGTGTATGGTAACTGTCCAACAACTCCAGGAAGTAGAGATGATGTGTCACTCGTTTGTGGAGTCTGGCCAGAGGGTAGTACTTTTATACCTGATGACAACACTTCGGAAGGAATTGCTCCAAAGGATTGCAATTGTTCAAAAGGTGCACCAGGGGCGGAGGTTAAACTCATCCTACCAGCTCTAGGAAGAGTAGCTGATACATCACCCATTCCTGGAATTTGTTCAGACAGTCGTTCTAGCAATCCTGAAGAAAATGATTCGGAGGAAATCCCTCCAGAAAATGGCAACTGCTCTGAGGGTATACCAGGAAGAGTGGGTAAGCTCGTTGGTGTTGTTTCCTGTACACCTGGAAAATGTCCTATTGATCCAGAAAATATAGTTGATGTACCATCAGGCATCCCCGAAATTTTACCAGACGTGAGAGCTTCTATACAGGAAGGTAGTGATTGAGGGATTCCTAGTGGCTGCGTGCCAACACCTGGAACTGTTGAGATGGGATTTCCCGCAGACTGAGCAAATCCTCCTTCAAATCCAGCGGTGAGACGAGGGCCATCACCCATCCTTCCTGTTGGTAATGCTTGACAAGGAATTCTAACTTGCTGTGTGGGAACACCAGGAACGAATGGGAGGCCAAAAGCTGTAGACTGGGGAACCTGCCCATCACCACCGGGAAATACATCACCTATCCCTGAGTTTTGAGGCACTGAGTTCTAATTTGAAGAGATCTCACTCATTAGCTCCCTTCTGTTTTCAATTAGTTTAGACATAATGAGATTTTTCTTATAGAAATGAGAAGAATAAACCCTTACTTTGTTTATCGCTGTATCAAAGGCCAGTTTTTGGAGTCGTGTCTTCAACTTCTCGGTAGCAAAGGTGAGCATAAATTTCTGAAATTTACAAAATCATAGAGAAATATATAGCAACATAATATATAAATGTGAATAATGTCTAGCTTATTTAGTGTTGTAAAATAACTTGAGATGAACTCAATGTATTTAGATAAAAAAAACAATAGTGTGCCTTATCTATAGCATGCTAACTCCGAGTCTTAGAGCCAGAATGCGATTCCAAACAAAATGGATCGAAATTCTTGAGTACTGAAATTCAGAGCTTGACATTTTGAGCGCTTAGAAACGTTGCATCAGTTTCAGAGCGTTCTGCGTCTTGATTGACGGTAGCGTTCATGTTCCGCATGCTATTAAAAAGCGCGGTTGAACGAATGTTTTCTTATGTACTAACTGTTGCGAAGCAAAAGATATTCGGTTTACCTCGATCGTGCCACCAAATCCCACTACTGCTCCAAGTAAAACAAACATGCCCGCCCAAAAGGGTCCTTCACGAGCGACTCTTAAAGGATCATTCATGAACTACGAAGAAAAAAATAAATGTGCCATTAAAACCAGTCCAAAATAACGAGTCTAAGGAAAAAACAATTTAAAGATATAATTTTAGGCATAGCAGTTTAGAATATCAATAGTGATAGTGTCATGATTTGGTATCATAGTTTTGTAACGAATTATTAGTATCTTAATATACACAGCTTTCCCCGGAGAAAGCCAGAACGAAAAAGCTTAGTTCATGTTCTTCTGTGTATACAGTTACCTTTTGTATCTCTCCAAATAGAAATGAGAGGCCCGGGGCGACCATTCCTGTGATGGCTGCTCCAAGAGTCCCCGATAACAACAGTGGCAGGTCTTGAAGTTGCATTCTTATCATTTTGTACGCAGCCTCTCCTTCGTTTAACTGAAATGTTATGCTTAAATATGAGTCAATAATTTTAAAAACATTACTATTCTTTATACTTCGTTGCAAAGTAAACTAACAGAGGAAATGAAGAGTAAAAAAAATGGTATTGATATTGCGTATAGAACGGATCTTTAGTCGTGGTACCTTACCAGGTGGCTTTTAGCATTTTTCAGGGAAAATCGGATCACAGAAGGTCAGTTTTTTCAGATGCAGGAAAACCGGAAAACCGGAAAACCCAAAGTAAAAAGTCCCAAGGAAATAACTAGAACTAATCACAAAACTCAATCCACATGTGACACGATATGCAAGAATCGTACCCAAGCTACGGCGGAGGACGAGAGCACTTCGCACTGCACCATCCCTGTTCTCAAAAATTTTTGATCTAAAGTAGGAATACTTTCCTTTCGATTCATTCTCATGCGTCAGACAATCAAAAAGAAGGAAGCGACAGAGAATATTATAGGCAGGTTAGTAGCAAGGCAGTTACTTAATTAAATGGCCAAATTACTAGTGAGCAGAAAGATTAACGAACAGAGAGCTGGGTAGGTAGGTACCTGTAGCGGGGTGGCTGGTTAGGTAGCTATGCGGGGCAGGGGAAGGGGAGGCGAGAGAGGGATCGAGGAAAGGAGCGAGTGGGGGAGTGAGGGAGGGAGGGAGGGAGGGAGGGAGGCAGGGAGGGAGGGAGGGAGGCAGGGAGGGAGGGAGGGAGGCAGGGAGGGAGGAAGAGTGAATAGTCCGGTGAGAAGTAAGCCGTTAGCTCGCCCGACTACAGGACGCTCAAAGCTTCACTTTTACAACACCATGTCCTTTTTCTCACCAAAAAAAAACGGCATTTATTTGTTTTAAAAGAATCAGCAACATATCTGGGTCACCTTTTCTTGGACCATGTGTCGAATCTTTGATAAGAAGCCGTTCACTTGCTCTTTAGTCTGTTCTTGTGTCGCCATCAAATCAGATTCCAGCGCTTCGATGTCCTTTTTGAGCACAGGCATTTCCGATGCAACTGGAGCTGAAAATCGTTTTGAACAAGAATAGCTCAGCTCAGATCTTTAATTCTTAAACTGTACAATACAATAGAAATGTTTGTCTTACCAGTCTTCGATAACTTCTCTTGGTGTTGCGTCTGAGATTCAAAATACTGAAAAAAAGAACAATTCAATGTCTTTAGGTTATTTAGTCGCACGAGAAATTATTCATTACTTTAGCTTATCTTCATTTTCCTTTGTCTTGAAAAGTACCTATTTTATTCTAGCGGCAAGGGACCTTTGAGACGATCAAACCAGTCTCCTTTGTACTGAGTCGTTTTTTGAAGAGTCACGCAAGGGACCGGTGCGGGACATCCCAAAGTAAGAAGCTAATCTGACCTACATCTTCGCCGTTATTTTGTTTTTATCTGACCGTAGTACAAATTTCTGGTTATCGACATTGACAGAGAGAAAGGGGGGAAAATGTTTCAGATCCTCTACGAATATGCAACCCTAGGTAAGGAAAGCTGAGAGAAAAACAAACTTACGAAAACTGACCTGTAAAGTAGCTAGATATCTGAATGCCCCTCCTGACAACATCAGTTCCTCAGGACTCCCCTGTTCGATTATCTCACCATTATGAAGGACAACAATAATGTCCGCGATACGCGCTACAGACACGTGACTTGTTGAAATTACCGTGGTACGGCCACGCCTTGCCTGAAACATTCCACAATTCAAATAACCAGTTGATGATGAGTTTTGATTGACTTTCCATTATGTTTATTCGTGTGGAATTTATAATTCTCCATAAGGTAGACATCTGAATCAGCTCGGGATCTCCGCTTTTTATAGATGTACGCTTTGTGAAGGAAAAATCTAAACTAACGCGCTAGGGTTGAAAAGGGATATCTATTGACGCTCTGTTTTCTTAGATCTGATTTTTCATACCTCTATACTTTCCTTGTCAATTAGGCAATACAGTTTGGTTAATATCGAGGAAACTCATCTTTTGATACGTTATCTGAACAGGTCTCTATTGGATAACTATTTAATATTGTAAAGAAACGTTACAAGTTATTATCTTATGGGAATGGAAGAGTAAATTTTTAGTTTTGATCGGTAAAACTGGGATGTTTTCATCAGAGGGAAAACTCATTTGATGTTAACGTACGTACTTCGTTCAAGTAGTTTGTCAAAGCATCAAGGGCAGAGTTGTCCATGATTGACAGGTCCTCCTCCCAAAGTAATATCCGGGGATTTCTGATCAATGCCCGTGCCAATGCTACCAAATGTTTCTGATAAGAAGTCAGCGGAGATCCATCATCACATAGCACAGTGGCATATCCCTGGATTGCAAGAAAAATATTTTTCCTCCACAATTGAATGGAATTATTGCTCAGTTTAGAGAAAACAGAATAAGGAAGGTGATAAAATGTCGGCGGGGTCGTCCAATAAATAAAGATCTGAATCGTTTTTCGTGAGCGTAGGACATTTACTATCTTTTATGTTTGATTCACAACTTTGACGCTTTCCTCTTTGCTGGTCACAGCTGTACGTAGAAAGCTTGTTACTTATGAACGTTGAAATGCCCTGGTTCACCATCGATTTCCCTTGCTCACTGATGAAACATCACAGCGCGAAATCCAAAGACCTAGGGCTCATTTCTTTGTGCGGAACACGGATTTCTTTATCCCATGCCCCCTCAAAAGATAATTGAAATTTTCTCTCAATCATGGAAATTTTTGAAGAATAGCTAAGCTTTGTATCACTTACGTCTGGTAAAGTTATGATGAATTCATGTGCCCCAGCCGCCTTTGCAGCACGCACTATTTCTTTTAAAGTGGCTTCACCTTTTCCGTTAGCAATATTATCTGCTATTGACGTGTTGAAAAGCTCAGGTCTTTTGTGGACGATACCAATTTGTCGACGAAACCAGCGTCGGTCAAGAAAACGAACATCCTGCCTGTCGAGTCGCACCTTGCAATATAAAAATGAGGTACAAAATCCATCAGTTTAATGTTTAACAAAGGTTCGATTTTGTCGTCCTACCTCTGAAAATTATCAATAGCA